GGATTTATTGATTGTTTGAAAGATTTTTTGTGTCTCTCTGTCCTTCAGTTTTGCTCTGATCTTAGTTATTTCTTGTCTTCTGCTAGCTTTTGCATTTTTTTGATCTTGCTTCTTAAGCTTTTCCAATTTTGATGATAGGTTGTCAATTTTTTATCTTTCCTTACTTCTCATGTAGGCATTTATTGGTGTAAAGTTTTCTCTAGACACTGCTTTAAAAGTGTCCCAGAGATTCTGGTACATTGTGTCTTCATTCTCATTTGGTTTCGAAAAACATCTTTATTTCTGCCTTCGTTTCATTGTTTATCAAGTCAACATTCAAGACCCAGTTGTTCAGTTTCCAAGAAATTGTGTGGTTCTGAGTTAGTTTCTGAATTCTGACTTCTAATTTGATTGTGCTATGGTCTGAGAGACTGTTATGATTTCCGTTCTTTTGCATTTGCTGAGGAGTGATTTACTTCCAATTATGTGGTCAGTTTTAGGGTAGGTGTGATGTGGTGCTGAGAAGAATGTATATTCTGTGAATTTGGGATGGAGAGTTCTGTAAATGTCTATTAGGTTTGCTTGGTCCAGGTCTGAGTTCAAGTCCTGGATATCCATGTTAATTTTCTGTCCCGTCGATCTGTCTAATATTGACAGTGGAGTGTTACAGTCTACCATTATTATTGTGTGGGAGTATAAGTGTCTTTGTAGGTCATTAGGAACTTGCTTTTGTATCTGGGTGCTTCTTTATTGGGCACTTATATATTTAAGATCATTATCTATTCTTATTGCATTGATCCTTTTACAATTATGTAATATCCTTTGTCTCTTTAGATCTTTGTTGCTTTAAAGCCTATTTTATCAGAGACTAGGATTGGAACTCCTGCTTTTTTTTTTTTTTTTTTTTTTTTGCTCTCCATTTGCTTGGTAAATCTTCCACCATCCCTTTATTTTGAGCCTATGTGTATCCTTGCATGTGACATGGGTTTCCTGGATACAGCACATTGATTGGTTTTGACTTTTGTCCAATTTGCCAGTCTGTGTCTTTTCATTGGGGCATTTAGCCATTTACATTTAAGGTTAATATTGTTACATTTGAATTTGATCCTGCCATTTTGATGCTAGCTGGTTATTTTGTCCATTAGTTGATGGAGTTTCTTCATTGTGTCAATGCTTCTTACCATTTGGTATGTTTTTGGAGTGGCTGGTACTGGTTGTTCCTTTATATGTTTAGTGCTTCTTTCAGGAGCTCTTGTAAAGCGTGCCTGGTGGTGATTAAATCTCTGAGCAATTGCTTGTTCATAAAGCATTTTCTTTCTCCTTTGCTTATGAAGCTTAGTTTGGCTGATGTGAAATTCTAGGTTGAATGTTCTTTTCTTTAAGGATGTTGAATATTGGCCCCCCACTCTCTTCTGGCTTGTGGGATTTCTGTGGAGAGATCCGCTGTGAGTCTAATGGGCTTCCCTTTGTGTGAAACCCAACCTTTCTCTCTGGCTGCACTTAGCATTTTTTTCCTTCATTTCAACCCTGGTGAGTCTGATGATTATGTGCCTTGGGGTTGCTCTTCTTGAGAAATATCTTTGTGGTGTTCTCTGTATTTCTTGGACTTGAATGTTGGCCTGCCTTGCTAGGTTGGGGAAGTTCTCCTGGATAATATCCTGAAGAGTGTTTTCCAGCTTGGATTCATTCTCTCCATGATATTCAGGTACACCTATCAAGCGTAGATTAGGTCTTTTCACATAATCCCATATTTCTTGGAGACTTCGTTCATTTCTTTTTACCCTTTTTTCTCTAATCTTTCCTTCTTCTTTTATTTCATTGAGTTGGTCTTCAGTCTCTGATATCCTTTCTTCTGCTTGGTTGATTCAACTATTGAAACTTGTGTATGCTTCACGAAGTTCTCGTGCAGTGTTTTTCAGCTCCATCAAGTTTATATTCTTCTCTAAGCTGTTTATTCTTGCTAGCATTTCTTCAAACCTTTTTTCAAGGTTCTTAGTTTCTTTGCTTTTGGTTAGAACATGACTTTTTAGCTCAGAGATATTTGTTATTACCCACCTTCTGAAGCCTATTTCTGTCAATTCATCAGACTCATTCTCGATCCAGCCTTGTTCCCTTGGTGGTGAGAAGTTTCAGTCTCTTGGAGGAGGCAAGACATTCTTGTTTGGGGTATTTTCATCCTTTTTTTGGCTGCTTTCTTCCCATCTTTGTGCATTTATATACCTGTGATCTTTGTGATTGGTGACTTTCAGATGGGGTCTCTTAGTGTATGTCCTTTTTGTTGCTGATGAAGCTGTTTCTTTCTGTTTCTTAGTTTTCTTTCTAACAGTCAGGCTCCCCTGCTGTAGGACTGTTGGAGGTCCACTCCAGACCCTGCTTGCCTGGGGATCACCTGCAGTGGCCTCAGAACAGTGAGGGTTGCTGTTAGTTTATTCTTCTTTTATCTTTGTCTTAGAAGGACACCCACCAGATATCAGCCTGAGGTGTCTCTTTGGTTATATGGGGGTCAGAAGCTGCTTGAGGAGACCGTCTGTCCCTTATAGGAGCTCAACTGCTGAGCTGTGAGCTCTGTTGTTCTGTTCAGAGTTGCTGGGCAGGTACATTTAAGTCTGCTGCAGTGAATTTCATAACCACCTTTTTTTCCCAAGTGCTCTATCCTCGGAAGATGGGGCTTTATTTATAAGTTATTGACATTCTGCTGCCTTTTTTCTGAGATGCCCTCCCCAGCGAGGAGGTAGCCTCGTCACAGTCTGCCAGTAGCGGTGTTGCTGAGCTGCCATTGCTCTGCTCAGCTGCTGTGTGAACTTCCTTGCAGTTTTTTTATAGGGGTATAGTTAGAACTGCCTCGGTAATGGTGATCTGCCTCGTTAATAACAGACTGTCTCTGTAATGGCGGAGTGCCTTGGTAATGGAGGATTTTCTCAGTAATGGCAGACTGCCTCAGTAGTGGCGGACTGCCCCAGCAGTGGTGGACTGCCTCAGTAATGGCAGATGCCCTTCCCCCCACAGAGCTGCACCATCCCCAGTCCAGCTGTGCTTGCTGTGAAATAGTCAATCCAGACCGTTTCAGATTGCTAGTCTTTGTGAGTATGGGACCAGCTGAGCCAGATCTACTGGCTCCCTGTTTCAGCCCCCTTTTTTTTTTTCAGTTGAACTGGTGACTCTGTCTCTCAGGCCTTCCACTTGCCAGTTGAAATAGCACCCAGATTTGTATGAGTTTTTGTGTGGAAACCCACTGCACCAGCTGAAAAAACTGTGCTAGAGATTTGTGGCGCTTTTCTGCCCAGGAATCTCCAGGTCTGTCAGCATTAAACATTCATTTGGAAATGCAATGATCACTCACCCTCTGCATTTTTACTGGGAACTGCAATCGAGAGCTGTTCCTATTTGGCCTTCTCCTACTTACATCTTTTTAATGAGATTTATTATATGGCCTAAAATATTGTCTATTTTGGTGTTCCATAGGTGCTTGAAAAGCATGGTGTTGAGTCTGCTCTATTCTTCCTGATTTTCTGTCTCCTTGTTCTATCACTTCTTGAGTAAAAGGTATTGAAACCTCAGATTACTTAGAAATTGGCTATTTCTTTTTGTAGTTCTATCCACTTTGGCCTCCTGCATTTTGAATTTCTTATGACATTAGGGGCATAAACATTTAGGATTATTATGTCTTCTTGATTAAATGAAACTTTTATCATTGTGACATGACCTTATTTATTGCTGGAAATGTTTTTGCTATGAAATCGACTTTGATATTAATACAATCATTTCTTCTCAGTAGTCTTCTGACAAGTGTTAGCATGTATTATTTTCTCTTCTTATAGGCAATTTATGTCTTTACAATTAAAGTGCATTTCGTATAGTCAGCATGTAATTAGATATTGCTTTCTTACCGAGTCTGTCACTCTGCTTTTTAATTGAGGCTTGTAAACCAGTTTCCTTTATATTGTGATTATCAATATAGTTACGTTTTTCTGTCATTATGCTGTTCGATTGCTGTTAGTCTCGCTGTTATTTTTTCCTCTTTTCTTCTTTTTCTGCTTTCCTTTAGATTAGTCAGCTATTTTCTATGATTTAATTTCGCATTTTTTTTTGGTTTATTATATAAAACTCTGTGTTTGCTATCTTAGTGGCTTGTTTCGGATTTATAATTTTAACCTATCACAGTCTGCCTTCAAGTAATGTTATACCACATCATAGATGGCATAAGAAAATGACAATGGTACCCTTTTATTTTTTTTCCCAGACAGTTCCTTCCTGGATCTGTGGGATTATGGATTTTGCCAAGTTTAGAATGTTTTTGGCCATTTTTTTTTTTTCAATTTTCTTTTCTGTCTTTCTTCCTATTTGGGGACTTATACATTAGTTGCTTGAAGGTTGGTCATAGTTCATCATGTCAAATTTATGATTGTGATGTTTAATCTGTGTTTATTTTCATCCTCTGTAGTTTTTACCTCTGACATTGCAATTGGCATTTCTGCAAGTATGGTTTGATTTTTAAAGAAATATCTTACATGCTTCCACTTATTGTCTCAAGCTTTTTTGGGGGTACAGTCATTTACTTATAAACAGAATTCTTTTTGTTCTTGCTTTTAGATTTTGGGTAATTTGCCACTCCCGAGGCAAGAGTTTTCTGATTATTGTCCTGTGAAATATGAGTTTTTTGGGCCTGGCTCCTGGGAATGGACCCTCTCCTGGGCACTTCAAGAACAGCAGACATTGTTTCTCCTGTTTTCCCCTCTGCCTTGGTCTTAGGAAGTTTCCTAGCACACATGCATTTTTTTCATTATTCTATTAAATACTTTAGACCTCTGCAGATGTCCAGGGTTTGTTTCCTCTGCTGCTTTCCCCCCTCAAGTGTTCTGTCCTGTGATTTATCTCTGCTTTCATTTTACCAGACTCTTAGCATCACCGCCCCAGCTCAGGGAATCTGTGTCAGATTTTCTCCCTTTGTCATGGCCTGGGAGCTCAGTACACACAAAAAGCTGGGACTTTTGTAAGGCCTACATTTGTTTCTTGTCTTTCAGTGATTACCATCCTTATTACCAAAGTCCATTGTGTTGAAAGTCATTGTTTCATGTATTTTGCCTGGTTGTTTTTGGCTTCAGGTAAGAAAGAAAATCAGCACCTGTTGCTCCCTCTTGGCTGGAAGCAGATTGCAGCAGAGCTCCAGAACATGCATCAGACTAGCCAGAGTGCTCTGCTTCCTCCTTTGCTCAACTGCTTCCTTCTCATTATTCATTTCTCAGTGTAGCCTTCTCTTCCTCAGGGAAATCTTCCCTTGGCCAATTGTAGGTCAAATTCTCTTATGTGATTATAAAGCTATGTATTCTTAAAGCAGCTATCTGAATTTATATTTTCAACTTTATCTTTGTTCTTCACTACGCTTTAAGCTAAACAAGGTCGGACATGTTGTCTGTTTTATCTGAAGATCTTTCTATAATATTTTCCACATTGCAGGCAGTCAATATATAAATACTCATTCAGTGTATGAATGAGTGCCATGTTGATATCAACAGTCCTTTATATCTAAAACCCTACTCATGTATTTTATCTCTATTTTGTTTTCCCTTGGTTACAGATTTTGTTAGCCTATTGAAAATCAAGAATGCAATATCTGCACATGAAAGACTAATAGAACATAAAATATATTACTGTGAACAACTTAGAGTGAAATTAAAAAAAATGAAAAATAAGATTAGTACACTACAAAAGGAACTATCTGAGACAGACAAAATCAAAGCACAGTTAGAGCATCAGAAGCTTGAATGGAAACAAGAGCTCCATAGTTTAAGGTAAAACATTCTAGTTTTAAAGAAATATTTGAACTGTTTATACTAAAGAGATGTAGGATAATTTCTGTAATAGTTGACTTACCTTCTAGGGTTTAATAGAGAAGAAAACTTCTTAAAATTGTGGAATGTGAAATTCTTCGATATAATATGACAAGCTTTTAATTGTGAATACTTCTTTAATGATTAATTGCATATTCCTTTAAATCATTGTTTAAATGATTATAGATTTCTACTCTATGGAAATCTCATTAATAAATTGAAATTGGGGGTCTTAATTTATTGTATTACTGCTGTAAGGAACATGCTACATATCCATAATTTTCTACATTTCTATTTACTTACTTTGGAAAAATGTTTTAAAATAGAGCTATCTGGTTAGACTATAGGAGCTTTTATTTTTTCTTTATTGCATTTTAGGTTTTGGGATACATGTCAAGAACATGGAAGATTGTTGCATAGGTACACACATGGCACTGTAATTTGCTGCCTTCTTCCCCTTCACCTACATGTGTCATTTCCCCCCATGCTATCTCTCCCCAACTCCCCACTCCCCGCTGTCACTCCCCTATTTCCCCCCAACAGACCCCAGTGTGTAGTGCTCCCCTCCCTGTGTCCATGTGTTCTCATTGTTCAACACCCACCTATGAGTCAGAACATGCGGTGTTTGATATTCTGCTCTTCTGTCAGTTTGCTGAGAATGATGGTTTCCAGGTTCATCCATGTCCCTACAAAGGACACAAACTCATCGTCTTTGATGGCTGCATAGTATTCCATGGTGTATATGTGCCATATTTTCCCTGTTCAATCTATCATCGATGAGCATTTGGGTTGGTTCCAGGTCTTTGCTATTGTAAACAGTGCTGTAATGTCCTTAGAGTAGAACGATTTATAATCCTTTGGATATATACCCAGTAGTGGGATTGCTGGGTCAAATGGAATTTCTATTTCTAGGTCCTTGAGGAATCGCCACACTGTCTTCCACAATGGTTGAACTAATTTACACTAATTTATACTAATTTACACTCCCACCAACAGTGTAAAAGTGTTCTATTTCTCCACATCCTCTCCAGCATCTGTTGTCTCCAGATTTTTTAATGATTGCCATTCTAACTGGCGTGAGATGGTATCTCAATATAGTTTTGATTTGCATTTCTCTGATGACCAGTGATGATTAGCATTTTTTCATGTGTTTGTTGGCCTCATGTATGTCTTCTTTTATAAAGTATCTGTTCGTATCCTTTGCCCACTTTTGAATGGGATTGTTTGTGTTTTTCTTGTAAACCTGTTTTAGTTCTTTGTAAATTCTGGATATCAGCCCTTTGTGAGAAGGGTAAACTGCAAAAATTCTTTCCCATTCTGTTGGTTGCCGATTCACTCTAATGACCATTTCTTTTGCCGTGCAGAAGCTGTGGAGTTTGATTAGGTCCCATTTGTCTATTTTGACTTTTGTTGCCAATGCTTTTGGGGTTTTGGTCATGAAGTCCTTGCCTACGCCTATGTCCTGAATGGTTTTGCCTAGATTTTCTTCTAGGCTTTTTATGATGTAGGTCTTATGTTTAAGGCTTTAATCCATCTGGAGACACTTTTAATATAAGGTGTCAGGAAGGGGTCCAGTTTCTGCTTTCTGCACATGACTAGCCAGTTTTCCCAACACCATTTATTAAACAGGGAATCCTTTCCCCATTGCTTGTTTTTGTCAGGTTTGTCAAAGATGAGATGGTTGTAGATATGTTGTGATGCCTCTGAAGCCTCTGTTCTGTTTCACTGGTTTATATCTCTATTTTGGAACCAGTACCGTGCTGTTTTGATTACTGTAGACTTGTAGTATAGTTTGAAGTCCGGTAGTGTGATACCTCCATCTTTGTTCTGTTCGCTTAGAATTGACTTGGCTATGCATGCTATCTTTTGGTTCCATATGAAATTTAAGGTTTTTTTTCCAGTTCTGTGAAGAGGGTCATTGGTAGCTTGATGGGGATACTGTTGAATCTGTAAATTACTTTGGACAGTATGGCCATTTTCACGATATTGATTCTTCCTAACCATGAAAATGGAATGTTTCTCTGCCTGTTTGTGTCCTGTCTTATTTCGTTGAGCAGTGGCATGTAGTTCTCCTTGAAGAGGTCCTTTACGTACCTTGTTACTTGTATTCCTAGGTATTTTATTCTCTTTCTGGCAATTGTGAATGGCATTTTGTGCTTCATTTGGCTCTCCTTAAGTCTGTTATTGGTGTATAGGAATGCTTGTGATTTTTACACATTGATTTTGTATCTTGAGACTTTGCTGAAGTTGCTTATCAGTTTCAGGAGATTTGGACTGAGACAATGAGGTCTTCTAGATACACAGTCATATTGTCTGCAAATACAGACAATTTAACTTCTTCCTTTCCTATTTGACTACGCTTTATTTCTTTTTCTTGCCTGATTGCTCTGGCTAGAAATTCCAGTACTGTATTGAATAGGAGTGGTGAGAGAGGGCATCCTTGTCTAGTGCCAGATTTCAAAGGGAATGCTCCCAGTTTTTGCCCATTCAGTATAATATTGGCTGTTGGTTTGTCATAAATAGCTTTCATTATTTTAAGATACGTTTGGTCAATACCTAGTTTATTGAGGTTTTTTAGCATAAAGGGCTGTTGAATTTTGTCAAAGGCTTTCTCTGCATCAATTGAGATAATCGTGGTTTTTGTCTTTGGTTCTGTTTAGGTGGTGAATTACATTTATAGACTTGTGTATGTTGAACCAGCCTTGCATCCCCGGGATGAAGGCTACTTGATCATGGTGGTTAAGCTTTTTGATGTGCTGTTACAATTGGCTTGCAAGTATTTTATTGAAGACTTTTGTGTCTATGTTCATCATGGATATTGCCCTGAAGTTTTCTTTTCTTGTTGAGTCTCTGCCGGGTTTTGGTATCAGGATGATGTTGGTCTCATAAAATGATTTCGGAAGGATTCCCTCTTTTTGGATTATTTGGACTAGTTTAAGAAGGAATGGCACCAGCTCCTCTTTGTATGTCTGGTAGAATTCGGCTGTGAACCCATCTGGACCTGGGATTTTTTTGAGTGGTTGGCTCTTAATTGCTGCCTCAACTTCAGCCCTTGTTATGGGTCTGTTTAGGGCTTTGGCTTCTTCCTGGTTTAGAGTTGGGAGGAGGCAAGTGTGCAGGAATTTATCCATTTCTTCCAGGTTTACTTTTTATCCAATTTGCCAGTCTGTGTCTTTTGATTGGGGCATGTAGTCCATTTACATTTAGGGTTAATATTGTTGTGTGTGAATTTGATACTGCCGTTTTAATGCTAGCTGGCTGTTTTGCCCATTAGTTGATGCAGACTCTTCATTGTGTTAACACTCTTTACCATTTGGTATGCTTTTGGAGTGGCTGGTACTGGTTGTTCCTTTCTATGTGTAGAGCCTCTTTCAGGAGATCTTGTAAAGCAGGCCTGGTGGTGATGAAACCTCTGAGTACTTGCTTGTTCACTACGGATTTTATTTTTCCTTCACTTATGAAGCTTAGTTTGGCTGGATATGAGATACTGGGTTGAAAGTTCTTTTCTTTAAGGATGTTGAATATTGGTCCCCACTCTATTCTGGCTTGTAGAGTTTCTGCTGAGAGATCTGCTGTGAGTCTGATGGGCTTACCTTTGTGGGTAACCTGACATTTCTCTCTGGCTGTCCTTAGCATTTTCTTCTTCCTTTCAACCCTGTGAATCTGACAATTATGTTCCTTGGGGTTGCTCTTTGTGAGGAATATCTTTGTCTTGTTCTCTGTATTTCCTGGACTTCAATATTGGCCTGCCTTGCTGGGTTGGGGAAGTTTTCCTTGATAATATTCTGAAGAGTATTTTCCAGCTTGAATTCATTCTCTTCATCGCATTCAGCTACACCTATCTAATGTAGATTAGGTTTTTCACATAGTCCTGCATTTCTTGGAGACTGTTCATTCCTTTTTACCCTTTTCTCTCTAATCATGCCTTCTCATTTTATTTCATTGAGTTGATCTTTGACCTCTGATATCCTTTCTTCTCCTGCGTCAATTTAGCTTTTGAAAGTTGTGCATGCTTCATGAAGTTCTCGTGTTGTGTTTTTCAGCTCCATCAATTCACTTATATTCCTTTCTAAGTTGTCCATTCTTGTTAGCATTTTGTCAAATCTTTTTTCAAGGTTCTTATTTTCTTTGCATTGCGTTAGAACATGTTCTTTTAGTTCAGAGACGTTTCTTACTACCCACCTTCTGAAGCCCAATTCTGTCATTTCATCACACTCATTCTCCATACAACCTTGTTCCCTTGCTGGTGAGGAGTTGTGATCCCTTGTAGGAGGAGAGGTGTTCTGGTTGCGGGTGTTTTCATCCTTTTTGCGCTGGTTTCTTCCCATCTTTATGGATTTATCCGCCTGTCGTCTTTGTAATTGCTGACTTTCAGATTGGGACTCCGAGTGGACATTCTGTTTGTTGATGATGAAGCTATTTCTGTATCTTAGTTTTCTTTCTAACAGTCTGGACCCTCTGCTGTAGGACTACTGAGGTCCACTCCAGGCCCTGCTTCTCTTGGGATCACCTGCAGCAGCTGCAGAACAGTAAGGGTTGCTACCAATTTCTTCTTCTACTATTTTGTCCCAGAAGGATACCCGCCAAATGTCAGTGTGATCTCTCCTTTATGAGGTGACTCTTTGGATATACAGGTGTCAGGGAGCTGCTTGAGGAGACAGTCTGTTCTTTATAGGAGCTCAAATGCTGAGCTTGAGCTCCGTTGTTCATTCAGAGCTGCTGGGCAAGTATGTTTAGGTCTGCTGCAGCAGAACTCATAAACTACTTTTTGTTCCCAGGTGCTCTGTCCCAGGGAGTTAGGGCTTTATTTATGAGTTTCTGTTGTGCTGTTCCCTTTTTTTTTTTTTTTTATCAGGGCTGCTCTTCCCAGCAAGGAGGCAGCCTTATCACTGTCTGCCTACAGAGGCTTTGCTGAGCTGCTGTGGGCTCCGCCCAGTTGCCATGTGATTTTCCCTGCAGTCCTGTTTATATGGGTGTAGTTAGACCTGCCTCGGCAATGGTGGCCCACCTCTGTATTGGCAGACTCTCTCTGTAATGGCAGGTTGCCTTGGCAATGGCAGGCTGCCTCAGCAATAGCAGACTACCTCCTTAGTGTTGTATTGCCTTGGTAATGGTGGAAGCCCCTCCCCCATACAGCTGGACCGTCCCGGGTTCAGCTGTGCTTGCTGTGAAACTCTCAATCCAGAAAGTTTCTGATTGCTGTTCTTTTGTGTGGGTGGAGCCAGCCAAGCCTAATCACCTGGCTCCCTGCCTCTGAACCTTTCGACTCTATCCCAGGTGTTCCAGTCACCTGTTGAAAAGGCAATGGGATCTGTGTGTTTTCCCATACGGTGACTCACTGCGCTGGCTTAAACAGCAGTGCTGGGATTCGTGGCGCTTGTTTTTGCCCAGAAATCTCCTGGCCTTGCTCCCTCTTCAGATCCCTCTTTAGTCAGATGAATGGATGACTTCCCAGGGCTACAATCATCTGCCAAAAGGGCCCCCAAACCAATGTGTTTTGTATGGAGAACCGCTGGCCGGGACAAAGCAGCCGTGCCGACCATAAGAACCCCGCTGGCCAAAACCATCACACTGGCGACCCATGGGGCTCCTCTGCCTGGGAATCTTCTGGTCCATAGGCAATAAAAATGTGGCATCCACTCACCCTCTGTGCTTTCACTGGGAGCTGCAACTCCAAGCTGTTCCTAAATGGCCATCTTGGGTGGGGATATGTAGTAGCTTTTAAAAAAGATTTTTGATGAATATTTCTAAGTTGTTCTTAAGAAAGTTTATATTAATTTATAATTCAACAGAGTATGACATATATTTTTCTCCACCCAGAGTAATTAGTTTTAAAATTATTCAGTTTTATTTACTTTTTTTTTGAGACAGAGTTTTGCTCTGCCACCCAGGTTGCAGTGTAGTGGTGGAATCTCGGCTCACTGCAACCTCTGCTCCTGTGTTCAAGTGATTCTTGTGCCTCACCCTTCCAAGTAGTTGGGATTACAGGCATGCATCACCATGCCTGGCTAATTTATTTTTTTTTTAAGCAGAGACAGGGTTCTGCTTTCTTGGCCAGATTGGTCTCAAACTCCTGACTGCAAGTTATCCACTGGCCTTTGCCAGACTGGTCTCAAACTGCTGACTGCAAATTATCCACTTATTACAGCATAAGCAACCATGCCTGGCCTAGTTTTACTTTTAGTATGCAGCGAATTAAAAGTAAAATGGAAAGTGATAACTGATTAGCTTAGTCAACATCTGTCTCTGCTACAGAGATTAAATTAATTCAAGGTTCTATGCTAAAGGCACATATTACTCTTTACTGTTTAAATATTAAATTTTGTCTTGTTTGAGAATGGATTTTAACATTGTTTGTAAAATACATAATAATCAATAGGATAAGTTAAAAGTGTTATTTAAAAAAGATACATAAAAAGTATAGGGTAACATCTTAGATTCCTTAGCCTAGGCCTGGATGATAGTCATCTGCAGATAAGTGTTGCAAAAAGACACCTAAAGGTGCTATCTTACAATGTAAATCATGTTTAGGGATACCTGCAATATTTCATGAATATGAAAATTGATTTCTACTGAAGGCATCAACTTATTTATAAAAAAATAACTTCTTTTTAATTAACTAACTCTAAATGATTCATCCTGACTGAGGAGTAATGATTAATGTGTGAAGAAAAGGTAATTTTGAACTTGCAAATTTACCTAATAATTTTCAGTGTACTTTTCAATAATATTTACTAGAGTTATTAGTAACAGAAGCTAATCAATTAGCAGAATGTTTATTTCTTACTACTTTTCAATTTATATATGTCCTTTGGAAGACATTGAAGTGAGAAATTAACATGAAAACTACAAAGAAAAAATATTCAAGAACATGGGCACTTTATTAGGAAAATAAATCAGCATATGAGTGTTTTGTTTTTAAAGGATTTTAAGATGAGTATATTTAACTACAGATTAATCTTACAACAACAAGAAGAAAGAAGAAACCCTGAAAAGTATGAAAAAGGTACAGAAAATTTCAAAATAATGGAAGAGCAATATTGGACACAAGCTGAAGTGAAAAAACAACTTAAAATGACTCTCAAATCATTGGAAATGGAATTCAAGACTGTAAGAAATAATTTAAATCAGGTACATTAACATTTGGTAAAATTTTATATTTCTAATTTTATTTTGTTAATATTATAATATCCCTTTAACTTGATATATATTTTTTAGTTCTAAAACCACAAATTTTATTTCATCTTAAAAATGAATGATACTTATAGCTACAATTATTTATTATAAATCTTGGTGTCAAAGTAGTATTTTATTTCAGTTCAAAGACCTTTGGAAAAAAATTATTTTCCATAATATATACTTAGTGATATTTTATAGATAAGTAATTTGTTCCTAGTGACATAGCTCAATGTAGTTTTTTCCTATTTCACATTAATTATGGTTTCAAACATTGTGAAAGTGAAGTAAAAGTTATCATAATATTACATGATCTCATGATGTCCTAAGAAGAGCTTTATAAATGTTATCTTATTTACTTTTGGTGTTTTGAAAGAAAAGGTGTTTATGGTATTCGCATATCTACTCCATGGACATAACCATGATCTGGTGGAGTAGCACTAGGAGTCAGAAGACCTGGGGAAAATCCAGCAGCTTGCTTATGTTTTTAAACTTTCCCTTCAGAGTTGTGATAACTAAATTACTTAATTGATGTATGCATATAAAGTGCTTAGTACAATGCCTAGATTTATCCTTTATCAATATGTGTCATTCTTAAAACTGACTCTAAAAATGTAAGAAAAGTAGAATTATCTATAAAATATTTGCAGGAAAAAGTAACAAGGAATTTGGAAAATTTCATCTGTCCAAATATCTGCAGAGCTAAGGCTCTTACACTATAGGGAAAAGTAAAATTAGATGTTAGTGTGTAAACCCAATTTCTAAATGTACTCATAGTTATTAATAATTTATGCCTTTGGGTTTGTTGAAATTCAATTAAAACCTTTTTTTTAAATTAATTGTCTTCAGATACATTTTTGAACTTTTGAGAAATTGTGCTCTAAAATGTTTGAAGTTTTGATTCAATTTCTTTTTTCCAGTTGGATAGCCAGATGGTAATTCTTTCATTGTATAAATGTACGTGTTATTACTTATTTAGTTTCATAAGAAATCATAATGTATCATTTTATTGGGTACTAGTTGAAAGTTTTCTTTGTTTTATTTAGAGTTCTCATACTCATGAAAAAGAAAAAGAGCTGTGGCAGAAAAATCACTGGATGAAGGATGAAATTGCCAGACTCAGGCTAGAAATAGACACAATTAAGCATCAGAACCAGGAAAATGAAAATACGTATTTCAAGGACAGTGAAATTATAAAGAAAAAGAATGAAGACCTTCAAAAGACTCTAAAGCTGAATGAGGAAACATTAACAAAAACAATAAACTGGTATAATGAAGAGCTTAATGTTCTGACATTGGATAAGAATACAGTGCTCAATTCTGAGCTAGAGAAGGAAAAACAGAGAAAGCAAAGACTGGAAACAGAAATGGAATTATGCAGTTGTAGACTGGCTGCTGCTCTATGTGATCGTGATCAAAGTCAGTCATCAAAAAGAGACCTGCAGCTTGCTTTCCAGAACACAGTAAATCAGTGGTGTCATTTACAAGAAAACATGAATTCTCATATTCAGATTCTTTCTCAGCAACTTTCTAAAGCTGAGAGTAAATCCAGTAGCCTGGAAACTGAGCTCAATTATGAAAGAGAGGCTCTCAAGGAAAAGACGTTGGCTATAGAACACATGCAAGGAGTCATAAGCCAAACACAGTATCGAGTGAAGGCCATTGAACACATGTACCAAGATGACCAACATATAGTGGAAAAATATGTGAGAAAGCAGCAATCTGTAGAGGATGGACTATTTCAGATACAAAGCCAAAATTCATTGCATCAACAACAACTTAATGATGCTCACAAGAAAGCTGACAATCAGGAAAAAACAATAATTAATATCCAAGCCAAATGTGAAGACACTGTAGAGAAACTTGAAGCTGAGTGTAGAAAGCACTGTATTATGCTAGAAGAGAAAAACAAGGGGTTGATAGAGGAATATACTCTTTTAAAAGAAAGGCAGTGCCAGTATGAAAAAGAGAAAGAAGAAGAAGAAGTAAGTATCAAGAAAAATAAGTATTTTTCAAGCTTCCTGAAGTAAAATTTAAAGTAATATTTGTTTATGGCTAAACATTTAATGTAGTTGAATATGAAAATATATACATGATAAATAGATCTGATATATCACCTTAGAAAACGTAACTTGTTTCCAGCAAATAAAAGTTAGAACTAAGAGATGCTTTCTTTTGAGTAAAGACAATGTGACACTCAGGAAATTTTAAGCATTTCAGTTACAAACTGTTAATATAAACTAATATTTATAATGTAGTCTTACACTGCTGAAATAATTTTAATGTCTGTATGTTGCCACATTTTAGGCTTATGATAAAACATATAAAAAAATGTTCATACCAAAAGTGTTATTTTGATATTGATTCAATTAATTGGATTACTTTGACCATTAATTCCTGATTTCCCAGATGAAGAAAAGTGTAGTCCCTATTTTAAAATTATTTTTCTTCATTTGCTTTTAATGTAGCTTAGTTGGTAGAATTTTATTTATTTATTTATTTATAAATAATATAATATTACTTATAATATCACTCCGTTGCCCAGAATGGAGTGCAATGGCATGATCTTGGTTCACTGAAACCTCTGTCTTCCAGGTTCAAGTGATTCTTCTGCCTCAGCATCCCGAGTAGCTGGGATTATAGGCACCCGCCGCTACGCCCGGCTAATTTTTGTGTTTTTAGTAGAGACCGGGTTTCACCGTGTTGGTCAGGCTCGTCTTGAACTCCCAACCTCAGGTGATCTGCCCACCTCAGCCTCCCAAAGTGCTGGGATTACAGGCATGAGCCACCGTGCCCGGCCAATTTTATTTTTATTCATGTCAGTTTGACTTAAATCTGAAAATAATTCAATCTTAAATTATATATTGATGTGACCTTTCCATTCTTCAAAGATATCCAATTTTTCTTACATTACAATATGGGGAAAATGTGGTAAATGTTACCAAACTAGATTTGATTTAATCTTCCCACTAGCATTTATAACTTACTTTCAATTTTTTAATGAAAAATGTGGTTATAATTTTTATTTCAAGGCTCAGTGACTCTCATTTGGATATAATGTTGTCCGGTACAAAGATAAGCTTAGCTGTCTGTGATTTATTAGTTTCACATTGGATCCCCATTTTCAGATTAATGAGGGGTGGTAGGAATGGAGGGAGTAGGGAAGAGAGACATAGCAGCTGAGGTAAGGGAGGGAGATAGAAGCTAGGTTACCTAGAACATTGAAGGCCATTGGAATGTTACTTTTTTTCTGAGATGGAAATCTATTGAAAGGATATGAGCAGGTGACTGATTATGTGAGGAACTCTGAGGTTGATTTGAGCTTCTTCTTATAAAAAAGAGAAAAAACATTGCACAGTGTAAAATTCAGTACCTCCAGTCCTACCTGTTTCTTTTTGAGAAGGTTTTTAAGCATTGCATATTCAACCGTGGACTGAATCTGTTGTATGAGTAACACAGCAGCAGTTTGGGATGAAGATAACACCTTCTTTATCCTTAACTGGATTCATTAATAAACAGGAATGTATGCACATGAGGAAAAAAAAGAATCTGTGTGTGTGGTGATACTTTTCTAAGTGTATACATTAGAGTTAAATATTATTAACAATTTAATAATAAGGTGATATGTAAAATCCATGACGAAAATAAAATCTTATCAGGTAGTTGTAAGAAAACTCAAACAAGAACTGAGTGATGCCCTGAACAAACAATTACTGTCAGAAGGTATGCTAGAGGCTTCATCACAACATCAAAATACTTTAGAAGATGAGACACGAGATACAAAAAAGAAATTCGAACAGATGAAAAGTCAGGTATGTATGAAACTTAGCATGTGAACAGTTACTCTGTAGCTGGTTAATATCAACTGTTGTGGGTTAGTAGTTTTATTGGACAGCTTTATTTCATATTTTAATTATGATTAATTTTATTATCTTTATAATGCATTCATTTCTCAATCTCTGCTATGTTTTATAATAATAAATATTTTTCTTATAATATTTCCAGTTAAGAAAGTTGAGAATTACACATCATTTCTCGTAGATTAGATAATTTGTTTTTCTGCTTACAGTATATTTTTAGTGATTTTTGTATTGCCATGGGGATACAAGCCAGATTAATTCAGAGGATAATTTCCAACGGAATGTTTCAGAAATTTTTTATTTTTTTAATCTCTACTTTTCTGTGTGAATAAAGAACTTGTGCCTACTTATTTCATGGGTTTCAGTTTAACTTGTACAGAAAGGCCATTCTTCATCTTTGTTTTGATGAAAATACTTGCTCTGACTTTATATTGGGCTATAGTCATAGTCACATGATTATGAACAGTTAGCATTTGCCAACATATGTCTGTCTACTTTCTCTAGTTTAAAAACAAACAACAACAAAAAAAAACTTTAAAAATGGAGTTATAGAAGGTCAGCAAAGGGTAGGTTTGAGATGTTTGGATGGGTCAAGTGGGCATTTTGACAACATGGCTTCTCCTTTGGCATGTTTAATGGACATCCCTGCAGTTTAACATGACACTTGTAAATAAATTCTCTCCTGATGGTGATGTGAGACCTGCCACTCAATCAACAGAACCTGTAGGATCTTATTTGACATTGATCTTGTCTATTTTAATTATGCTCCCGTTTATTTTCAAATTTTCTTGTGGTTTGCCTGGAGAGGAAAGATGATGCTTAGTTTTAAATGTTAAAAATGTATAAGTTGCCTTGCTATAACAAAATTAAATGCATACACACAAAAAAAGAAACAAAATTATAGTTGATATAGTAGCGGTGTTTGGAATTCAAAAATATGAATGCTTACCATAAAGTAATTTTCTCTTTCCCCATTTAACCAATTTTATAAATTTGAGTATCTTATAAAATATAAATTAAAAGCAAGAAAAATATTGTATTTTGATCCTACAGCATACTCAGTAAATTTTTCTGTAAAGGACCAGGTAGTATTATTGGAGACTTTGTGAGCCATAAGATCCCTGTTGGAACAACTCAACACTGTATTTGCAGCACAAATGTAGCCATAAACAATATGCAGATTGCAGGGGTGTGACTGCATTCCAATAAAATTTAGTTAAAAAACAGGTAATAGATTGATTTGTCCTAGATTATTATCATTTTTAATAAAATAGATTTTGATAGTTTAAAAACAGTATTTTATATATACCATATTTTGTTCATTCATTCACCTGTTGATGGGCATTTGGTTTCCACACCTAAAGATTGTTTTCAATTCTTTGTTTTAGTTGCAAGAAATCCAGGATCAACTCACAGAGACTCTAAGATATGATGAGGAGATTCCAGACCACGTGCAAAAGTACAATTTAAAGCAGCACACAAAATATCTTGAGTATTTATAAAGCAAATGAGTAGTGTAGTATGAGAATTATATCAGTTAAGATAATAAGTATATCTATGCGAAGCCAAGAAAAAAATTTCAGCTGTAAGCTATTTTGAAATGCATAATTTTTATATTATTTTTAATTTTACACATCATCAACAAAACAAAGGTAGAAAAATGGCAGTTGCTCAATTTTCTAATTTTCAAATGTCTCAGAATTTATGTAATTACTTCTTCAGATACTTTTCAGAATTTATATGATTTTTTAAAATTATGTCTGTAAATAATTATTTTAAAATATATTTATTTTAGGCTTAAACTAGAAAATGCCATGTTAAAAATTAGAAGGAAAGAGCGAGCGAACAAAATTGAGCAGCTTCAGAAAATTCTGGGGGGATCCAAGATGGCCGTTTAGGAACAGCTCGGAGTTGCAGCTCCCAGTGAAAGCACAGAGGGTGAGTGGACACCACATTTTTATTGCCCACAGACTAGGAGATTCCCAGGCGGAGGAGCCCAACCAGTTGCCAGCGCGGCTGTTTCGGCCGGCACGGCTGCTTTGCCCCACGCAGCTGCTTTGTCAGTGCCCTGGTGCAGTGGTTCTCTGTACAAAATACACTTGTCCAAGTGCCCTTTGGCTGGCGATTGGAGCCACGGGAAGTTGCCCATTCATCTGTTTAAAAAGGGGACTGAACAGGGAGTCAGGACAGGAGATTCCAGGGCAAAAAGTGCCACGAATCTCAGTGCCGCTGTTTAAGCCAGCACAGTGAGTCACCGTATGGGAAAACACACAGATCCCGGTACCTCTTCAACAGGATACTGGAACACCAACTTTAAAAAAAAAAAAAAAAAAAAGGCTCTGAGGTAGGGAGCCAGGCAATCAGGTTCGGCTGGTCCCACCCCCAAAATAACAGCAATCAGAAACTCTCTGGATTGAGAGTTTCACAGCAAGCGCAGCTAAACCCAGGACCATGGTCTAGCTCTGTGGGGGAGGGGAGTCCACCATTACAGAGGCAATACACCACTAAGGTGGTAGTCCATTATTGCTGAGGCAGCATGCTGTTACCAAGGCAACCGACCATTGCTGATGCAGCCTGCCATTGCCAAGGCAACCTGCCATTACAGAGAGAGTCTGCCAATACAGAGGTGGGCCACCATTGCCGAGGCAGTTCTAACTACACCCATATAAACAGGACTGCAGGGAAGTTCACATGGCAACTGGGCAGAGCACACAGCAGCTCAGCAAAGCCTCTGCAGGCAGACAATGATGAGGCTGCCTCCTTGCTGGGCAGGGCAGCCGTGAAGGAAAAAAAAAAGAAGGCAGCAGCACAATGGAAACTCATAAATAAAGCCCTAACTCCCTGGGACAGAGCACCTGGGAACAAAAAGTGGTTTATGAGTTCTGCTGCAGCAGACCTAAATGTACCTGCCCAGCAGCTCTGAATGAACAATGGAGCTTACAGCTCAGCATTTGAGCTCCTATAAAGAACAGACTGTCTTCTCAAGCAGCGCCCTGATGCCTGTATATCCAAAGAGTCACCTCATAAAGGAGAGATCAGACTGACACTTGGTGGGTATCCTTCTGGGACAAAGATAGCAGAAGAGAAAACTGGTAACAACCCTTACTGTTCTGCAGCTGCTGCAGGTAATACCTAGGCAAGCAGGGCCTGGAGTGGACCTCAGCAGACCTACAGCAGAGGGGCCAGACTGTTAGAAGAAAAACTAAGAAATGACCTCATCATCAACAAACAGAATGTCCACTCGGAGTCCCAATCTGAAAGTCAGCAATTACAAAGACGACAGGTGGATAAATCCATAAAGATGGGAAGAAACCAGCGCAAAAAGGATGAAAACACCCGAAACCAGAGCACCTCTCCTCCTACAAGGGATCACAACTCCTCACCAGCAAGGGAACAAGGTTGTATGGAGAATGAGTGTGATGAAATGACAGAATCGGGCTTCAGAAGGTGGGTAGTAAGAAACTTCTCTGAACTAAAAGATCATGTTCTAACCCAATGCAAAGAAACTAAGAACCTTGAAAAAAGATTTGACGAAATGGTAATGAGAATGGACAACTTAAAAAGGAATATAAGTGAATTGATGGAGCTGAAAAACACAACATGAGAACTTCACGAAGCATGCACAAGTTTCAACAGCCGAATTGACCAAGCAAAAGAAAGGATATCAGAGGTCGAAGATCAACTCAACGAAATAAAACGGGAAGGCAAGACTGAGAAAAAAGGGTAAAAAGGAATGAACAAAGTCTCCAAGAAATGTGGGATTATGGGAAAAGAGCTAATCTACGTTAGATAGGTGTACCTGAATGCAACGAAGAGAATGAACCCAAGCTGGAAAATACTCTTCAGGATATTATCCAGGAAAACTTCCCCAACCTAGCAAGGCAGGCCAATATTCAAGTCCAGGAAATACAGAGAACATCACAAAGATATTCCTCACAAAGAGCAACCCCAAGACACATAATCATCAGATTCATCAGAGTTGAAATGAAGGAGAAAATACTAAGGGCAGCCAGAGAGAAAGGTTGGGTTACTCACAAAGGGAAGCCCATCAGACTCACAGCAGATCTCTCAGCAGAAACACTACAGGCCAGAATACAGTGGGGGCCAATATTCAACATCCTTAAAGAAAAGAACTTTCAACCCAGTATCTCATATCCCGCCAAACTAAGCTTCATAAGTGAGAGAAAAATAAAATCCTTTGTGAACAAGCAAGTACTCAGAGATTTCGTCACCACCAGGCCTGCTTTACAAGAGCTCCTGAAAGAGGCTCTACACATAGAAAGGAACAACCAGTACCAGCCACTCCAAAAACATGCCAAATGGTAGAGAGAATCAGCACAATGAAGAATCTGCATCAATTAGTGGGCAAAACAGCCAGCTAGCACCAAAATGGCAGTATCAAATTCACATGTAACAATATTAACCCTAAATGTAAATGGACTACATGCCTCAATCAAAAGACACAGACTGGCAAATTGGATAAAATGCCAAAACCCATCGGTGTGCTGTATCCAGGAAACCAATCTCACATGCAAGGATACACAAAGGCTCAAAATAAAGGGATGGAGGAATATTTACCAAACAAATGGAGAGCAAAAAAAAGCAGGCATTGCAATTCTCATCTCTGAAAAAATAGACTTTAAAGCAACAAAGATCACAAAGATGAAGGGCATTACATAATGCTAAAAGGATCAATACAAGAATTAGAGCTAATGATCCTAAATATATACGCACCCAATACAGGAGCACCCAGATACATAACGCGAGTTCTTAATGACTTACAAAGACACTTAGACTCCCACACAATTATAGTGGGAGACTTTAACACCCCATTGTCAATATTAGACAGCTCAACCAGACAGAAAATTAACAAGGATATACAGAACTTGAACTCAGACTTGGACCAAGCAAACTTAATAGACATTAACAGAACTCTCCTCCCCAAATCCACAGAAAAAAACATTATTCTCAGCACCACATCACACCTACTCTAAAATTGACCACATAATTGGAAGTAAATCACTCCTCAGCAAATACAAAAGAATGGAAATCATAACAAACAGCCTCTCAGACCACAGTGCAATCAAGTTAGAATTCAAAAACTAACCCAGAACCGCACAGCTTCGTGGAAACTAAACAACTTGCTTTTGAATGTTGACTGGATAAACAATGAAATGAAGGGAGAAATAAAGATGTTCTTCAAAACCAACAAGAAAGAAGACACAACACACCAGAATCTCTGGGACCCATTTAAAGCACTCTCTAGAGGAAAATATATAGCAATAAGTACCCACATGAGAAGCAAGGAGAGATCAAAAATTGACACCCTATCTTCAAAATTGAAAGAGCTAGAGGAGCAAGATAAAAAAAAACTCAAAGTCTACCAGAAGACAAGGAATAGCTAAGGTCAGAGCAGAACTGAAGGAGATAGAGACACAAAAAACCCTTCAAAAAAATCAATAAATCCTGGAGCTGGTTTTTTGAGAAGACCAACAAAATAGACAGACTACTAGCCAGATTAATAAAAAAGAAAAGAGAATAACCAAATTGATGAAATAGAAAACAATAAAGGGAATATCACCACAGATTCCACAGAAACTCAAACGATCATCAGAGATTATTACAAACATCTCTATGCACATAAACTAGTAAACCTGGAAGAAATGGATAAATTCCTGGACCTTTGCCTCCTCCCAAGCCTAAACCAGGAAGAAGCCTAAACCCTGAACAGACCCTTAACAAGGTCTGAAGTTGAGGCAGCAATTAAGAGCTTACCACCAAAAATATCCAAGGTTCAGACGGGTTCACAGCCGAATTCTACCAGACATAAAAGAGGAGCTGGTACCATTCCTTCTAAAACTTTTCCAAACAATGCAAAAAGGGGGAATCCTTCCCAAATCATTTTATGAGACCAACATCATCCTGATACCAAAACCTGGCAGAGACTCAACAAGAACAGAAAACTTCAGGGCAATATCCATGATGAACGTAGACACAAAAGTCTTCAATAAAATACTTGCAATCCAATTGTAACAGCACATCAAAAAGCTTATCCACCATGATTAAGTAGGCTTCATCCCGGGGATGCAAGGCTGGTTCAACATACACAAGTCTATAAATGTAATTCACCACATAAACAGAACCAAAGACAAAAACCACATGATCTTCTCAATTGATGCAGAGAAGGCCTTTGACAAAATTCAACAGCCCTTTATGCCAAAAACCCTCAATAAGCTAGGTATTGATCAAACGTATCTCAAAATAATAAAAGCTATTTACGTCAAACCAACAACCAATATCATACTGAATGAGTAAAAACCGGAAGCATTCCCCTTGAAACCTGGCACTAGACAAAGATGCCCTGTCTCACCACTCCTATTCAATATAGTTCTGGAAGTTCTAGCTAGAGCAATCAGGCAAGAAAAATAAATAAAGGGTAATCAAATAGGAAAGGAGGAAGTCAAATTGTCTCTATTTGCAGACGACATGATTGTATATCTACAAGACCCCATCGTCTCAGCCCCAAATCTCCTTAAACTGATGAGCAACTTCAGCAAAGTCTCAGGATACAAAATCAATGTGCAAAAATCACATGCATTCCTATACACCAATAACAGACTTAAAGAGAGCCAAATCAAGAACAAACTGCCATTCACAATTGCCACAAAGAGAAAAAATACCTAGGAATACAACTAGCAAGGAACGTAAAGGACCTCTTCAAGGAGAACTACAAGCCACTGCTCAATGAAATAAGAGAGGACACAAATAGATGGAGAAACATTCCATATTCATGGTTAGGAAGAATCAATATCGTAAAATGGCCATACTGCCCAAAGTAATTTACAGATTCAATGCTATCCCCATCAAGCTACCAATGACCTTCTTCACAGAACTGGAAAAAAACACCTTAAACTTCATATGGAACCAAAAGAGGGCCCAC